TACCATCCAGAAAGGGAGAAAAAAGAGAGAGACAGAGAAGACACAGATACAACCCAGTCCCCATACCTGAGTCCTGCTTCTCTTCCCCAGACCGAACCTCAAGAGAAAGTGTGCCCTTGGCTAAGAGTTCAGGTGATCAATAATCTCAAAGCTCGCCTCTGTGTAACCCATAGGAGACCCTGGCAGGGGCCTCCCCAGTTCCTGTTAGCCCTACAGGACACAATTTGAAAGGAGAAGAGAAAGAAAAAGAATGATAATTTACATAACAAAGCACAGAACCCACAGGGCAGAGCTCCTCAATGTAAGAGGCAGTTAGGAAAATAATCTGTTTCCTCTTAATGGATTTAGTCAGTGTTTCTCTGAGAATTACTACCTGTCTTTCAGAGAGGTGGGTGTGGGTGTGTGTGGATGTTTAGTCCAAAAGTTATTGGCTGGAATGTCGGGAAAAATTCAAAATTCACAATGGCGAAGAGATTTTAAGAGACAACGTGAAGAGCCTGAACCCACCTGACACTGTGCCTGTCCCCACTACTGCCCCTGTCCCCCCACTCTCCCTCCAGCAAGTGTCAGAATCCCCCGGAGGCCCGTGAAACCACATGGCTGGGCCCCGCCCCCCAGTTTCTAATGCAGTAGGTCGGAGTGGGGCTTGGGAACCTGCATTTCTAAGAAGTTCCCAGGTGATGCCCAAGCAGCTGGTGCAGCCCCCACGTGGAGGACCACTGAGTTAGAAGATCGGCTGACGTCACTAACCGCCTCTGCCCTCTGACGTCACTAACCGCCTCTGCCCTCTGACATCACTAACCGCCTCTGTCCTCTACAAACAATTCGAAACATAATTTTCAAACACAGATTTAAAATTACTTCCGGACAAAAGAATGACCCTGTGCAACCCGAACTGAGGTTAGCATGCGAAAACACACGCCATGCATACACCTGCCTAGAACGCCACTTTGCAGGCGGGGTGGTTACACAATTTAACTGGCAATTTTAAAACATGACATTATTGTTGCAATGCAGAATATACTTTCAAGTACAAAGCAAAATTTAGTGGAAATTCTAAGACAGAATTAAGGGATCTCTAAGAACCCTCCAACTTGTCCAGGGTCACTAATCTTTTGTGTTGCCTGTAGAAATGTGCCTCTCTGTGTGTCTGTGTCTGTGTCTGTGTGTGTGCTTGCACGTGTGTACATGTGTGATCTGTGCGTGCATGTGTTTCCACGTGTGTACTATGTACATATGTGTGCTGTGTCCGTGTGTGTCTTTGCTTCCACATGTGTATACTGTGTGCACGTGTGTGCCTGCTCACATGTGTACTGTGATCTGTGCATACATATGTGCTTCCAGATGTGTATCATGTATCCATGTGTATGGCGTAAGTCTCCACGTGTATACTGTGTGCACGTGTGTGTTATCTGTATGTGTGTGAGGTGTGTGCTTGCACATGTGTGTGTTATGTGCATGTGATCTGTGTGTGCATGTGTGCTTCCGTGTGTGTGCTGTGTGCATGTGTGATTTGTGTGTCCTGCGTGTGCATGCATGCATGTTATTATTCTCACTTCCATCAGGATTGTCTTGTTTTGGTGGTGGGCGGCAGAAACGTCCCTTGAGAAACCCTGTCTTAGGTGTTATCAGTTACCAACACCTTAAGTAACTCTCTAAACATGTTCCATGAGACTAGCTGTGGCACGCCTCACTTTACCTTCTCAGGAGGAGGGAAAGTGAGGTGGGAATGATGGAGGTAGCTTGATGTGAGCTTCGACAAGGCTGCCGTCCGGAGAGGGCAGGCAGGGTCCTGGGCAGAAACAGACTCCCAGACCCGAAACACACTGCCGCTTTCCGACTCACCGACTCCATCGCTTTCCCATCCCAGGTCGCCCCGAACGACTCCTAAGCTACGGCAATTTGTGAAAATAAAAGGGGACGTACGATTTGCCAACTGACAGCTAAGACAGTTTCTCTTTCTACTTTTCAAGTGGCACGTGAGAACTCTGGGACTTCCCTGCTCTGGGCACCCTCCCCACAAGTTCCTCGCTGTGCCCAGTCATTAACTCTGGTTGCCGCATCCACCAAGAATCAGGGTCAGGCGCCTAGAGCTAATATGCACGTGTACAGGTCGCCCGTTATTTTGAAGATTGATTTTCCTGAAGTATTCGATTTATTATGTAAAAAAAGAAATCAAGACAATATTATGTGTCTTAAATTTGTGGGCAACCCCTGAATGAAAAGACTGAGGAGTCACGTGGATGACCACAGCAACAAGGACAGGGGTTTTAACAATCTACAGAACACCAATCGAATCCCCAACGGGCCCTACCTGTCTGATGAACTCCCGGAAGCCGAGGATGGGCCCGTTGTGGAAGACCGGGTAATAGAAGACATAGGCCAGCATCCAGGGAAAGGAGAAGGTGCCGCCAGCGGGCAGCCGCTGCCAGCAGAACTCGAGGCTGAAGCTGGTGTAGTACAGGCAGCGAACGGTCAGCGTGAACTGCAGCAAGTAGTACTCGTTTTCTGTCTTGTACCACCCTCTCTGCAAAGTCACCAGGAGAGAAGAGCCTGTGAGTGCCAAGGAAGGACATCATCCCATCTCATGGGAAGGACAGGTCTTCCACAGGAAGAGCAGCTGGACCAAAAAGGGAGTGGAGACCCACTGAACGGCAGTGGAGCTCCTAGGTAATCAAAACAAGCAGATAATGAGCAGTGGGCAGAAGAGTGGCTCTGACGCTGACCAACAACTTAGCATGAAGCCTGAGGCAACGCAGTGACTATATTCCTGAATGCACCTGTCAGACGCATCCGGTGAGTGACATGGAGATTAGCCACAGCCAGGGGACACCTGGACAGCTCCTCCAACAATTCTGAAGACAAAGAGAGGCTTATAAATGTCACATGAGATTTCTGTCTTCAACATACTTTTCTTTTGCTCTTCGGTTATTAATTTGAGTCCATATGGAGTTGAGGAGTATTTGCCAAATAAGCTTTAGAGACACATAGTCCAAAAATAGTCCTCTACCCTCAATGCATCTAAATTCCCATATAGGAGATAGGTAGGTAAAAATGTAATTACAATGAAGTACAAAATAAGAACTAACGAGCATGTACAAAAATATGTATGGAAATGAAGACTAGGCGGAAATGTGATAAAATGTTAATATTCGGGGAGAGTAAAATTATGAATCGTTCTATACTCTATATTTTTCTATATTTTCTATAATACATATGTATTGCTTTTTCAGTAGGAAAAACAATTTATGGAAATACAGACAAGATACAGAATTTATAGAAAATAGAATAGTATTCTCTATTTAGAAATTTTCTATGTAGAAAATTTAGTAGTTAATTTGATCTATGAGGGTCATTTAAGGCTTTATACTGAAAAACTAAGCACTGAACAGAGTTTCTGGTCCAAGTCCAGGGACTCAGCAGCCACCAGGAAAGACCAGGAGAACTGAATGTGCAGAAGCATGGGAACCCAGCGCAGCCAGCTGCTGGCCGTCCGCTCCCCGCCTTCAGACCCCCACTCTGCAAATTAAGTGGAATATTTATTCTGCACCAACCCCATAACCGATGCTAACTGTCCCCACACAAATGATAAATAAAGCCAGAGTCTGTTCTGTTCATTTACCATGTCCCTAAGAAGTTAGGAGCGTATCTGTTCTTACTTTTATTGCAAATCTACTTTAAGCACCCTTATATTTAAATGATCCCCTAGTTAATCGTTCAGGGAAATTAAGCATTTTTTTGTGAAGATGGAGCTGCTACCTTACTTATTCTCATAAGTCCAGATTTTGACACATGTGCTTAAAGTATCTGACCCAGTCCATTGGTGAGAGTGAAGAAAAATTATGATAGCCTAATACAGTAAAAAAAAAAAAAAAATTCTTGCATTTTCAACACGCTACATTTTTACAAAATTGCTTAACAAATATTATTAGGTGCTCAGAACAACTCCACGAGGAAGGCAGAGCAGCTATTACTTCCATTTTCCAAATGATATAACTGAGACTCAGAGGTTAAATGACGGCCTCCACTCCCAAGAGCAGGAAAGACCGTGAACAGAAGAGACTGCAAACCAGCCCATCCACTGCTTGAATTTTCCCTTCACATTATTTCCCATGACAGTGCCATTGCAGGGAACACCACTTCCAAGTGCCATCAGTTGAATCAGTGAATGAGGGAACAAACGAATGAACAAATAAACACAAATAAAGACACCACAGGAGTTCCAGTTCCACAGTGATTTAGGAATGAATATCGAAAACTCCCCAAGATTGTCTGTGCACAGAAATACCTTCCTTATCCGTCTCAGGGGCTACTGTGGGGATCCCGTGAGATAAGGAATGTGAGAGTCCCCTATAAATTGTACTGCACTCTGCAGATCATTTTTTATCTAATGCATAGGGAACTATTGCTCTCTTTTCCCTTCGTTCCTGACCCGCTGTTCCTATGACATGCACCACCATCCACGCTTACCCAAACTGGGAGAAAAGGTAGAGGGTTAGCCCTGTGCAACCTCAGAGAGTTAAGACAGATACAAAATACACAACCGCAGAATGCAATACCAGAGTTCGCATGCACCAACCCACTACGGCCACTAGGAGGACCCCCACCGCAGTTCTACAATTGACTGTTCCCTGAAAACAAAGGTACCCGCCCGGAAGGGGCCACCGCCAAAGGGACCTTCTCCTTCCCAGTGGTAAAATGGAGACACTTACCTTAATTTCTTCCACATCTTGCAGCCTCAGTGTGGAGAGCAGGAGGAGCGAACAGAGCCATGATAGGAACAACGACCGGAACTGGGCTACGCAGAAGGAGATGAGGGTGTGGAGAAAAATCGTGGCCGTTCCTGGGATCCCCAGCACACACCAGCAGGCCCACATTCCATAGGCCGTGAGGATCCAGGGTCTGTGCTGCAGGTGGGATGGGGCGGGGCGAGGGCACCCAGTGAGACACGCAAGGAGGGGCGAGGGAGGAAAAAAGAGCAGGGTGAGCTAAGGGCATTGTGAGAAGATAATACCCATTAACCAAACTGTTCTCACTGCCCTGAGGACTTAGTGCAATCTAAACGGGATTCAGAGGGACCTTCTAGAGCCATGGGAGGCTACCCCTCAGGTCCCAGAACCCCACCAGATCTACCCAGAAGCAGAAGTCACTTTCCTGCCTTCACCCAAAGCTACCCGGACCACATGATCCCACACTAAGATATATAATTGACTTTTCGAGAGACACTATGGAAGCCAGCATACAGTTGGAAAAACAGCCACCCTGGTATCCTACCTCATGCATATGCTATCTTGCAAAAGCGAAGGTGAAAGAAAGTATGGGTACACATTTCTCAGGAGTTACCGAAAAAACTGGGCCGTCCAAACCACAAAAGGCTTTCTAAAGTCTAACCCAGAAATTTAAAATTAAATATCTAATTACATATTTTACATATTGTTTAGCATATTGTTTACGGTCAAATTTATATCACAGAAAAGTGTATCTCGCCTGCTTTATGTGATATGAAGCCTTTGCATAGTCAATGTCATTGAAACATTTAGTCCCATTTTAGGAGAACCAGAGTATCTAATTAATTATCAAGTTTTATAGTGCTTCATGTTGAATAACTAAATAGATAAATTAACATGTCTTTGTTTTTGTGATATACTCTTGGCCATATCCGGCTGGTAAATCCTTACTTAAAAATCACAAAAATGCTTTAACATTGTTTGAGAGACAATATAGCATAGGTGTTTAATGACTCAAGCTTCGAAGTCCAAGTGCCTAAATAAATCCTTGTGTCGCCACTAAGTAGCTGTGCGACCTAGACTGGTTCCCTAACCTCTCGGTGCCTCAGTTTTTTAGGCCAGTATCTACTTCAGGACATTGCGAGGGCTGAGTGAGCAAATGCTTCCGCAGTGTCTGCATACACAGTGGGGACATTGGAAATACTAGTTGTTATTCCTGCAGAAAAACATGATGTGTCTTTTCAGCTCGCATTTAAAAATATGGTTTCCAGGAATATACCAAGTTGAAAAGTGGGGACTGCTTGAATTTAGGTCTTTTTGTAAAAACAAAAAGATTTCTTTAAGGGAAAGGCAGATGTGGACTACAAATTGAAAATCCTATCCTTTCATGCTAATTCTTCCAAAATATTGCCGAAGTACAATTTTTCCCAAACTTATACTCTAGCTCAAGAGAGAACATTTTAAATGAGTGACTACGTCAGCCACTTTTAAGTTCCAAGAAAATCAGAGAAATCTGCGGTTCATTTTTACTATTTTTCCATCCTACTACCCACGGAAAACAGCCACATAAATTTGCTTCAAAATTTCCCCCAAACACTCACCTCTGGGCAGAGTGCAATTACAAGGAACAAGGTCGCCAAAGGCTATTTTAAGAAGTAGTTATAACAAATGAGGAAAAAAAGGTTCTTTTTCAACATGACCTACAGCATTTACCACTTGGAATTCTTTCCCATGCTACATACATATACACAGCCACGTTTTATTAAGTGCTATCTGATCCATTTGAAAAAAGCCTCTTTTCTGGGATTCATTTGGGAACTTAACCACAGACTGAAGCTGCTTCAACTTGGAAAAGCTGAACGAACCTTCAGGAAATACTTAACAGTGCTGTGAACAATGTACAAAAATCAGCTATAAAAAACCATTATATAAATTACAACCTCACTAAAATAGTGATTTTCATACTTAGTCTATAAAAATGCGATTAGAATCCCATCGCAAACACCATTAAAATCCTGATATAGCCTGAACAGCCTTCCATTCCTCATTGCAAAAATCACACAGTGTAGAACCTTTGGGATTCACTTTTTTCACTCAGCATAATTCCCTGGAGATTCATCCAAGTTTCTGCAGGTACCAAAGGTTTACTCCCTCTTACTGCTGTGTAGTATTCCATGACGTGGATGTACCACAGTTCATTTAACCATTCACTTGTTGGAGGACATCTGGGCTGTTTCCAGCATTTGGCTATCATGAATAAAACTAATGTGAACATACGTGTACAGGTTTTGTGTAAAAATAAGTTTTCATTTCTCTGGGGTAAATGCCCAAGCATGCACTTGCTCGATGCATGGTAGTTGCACATTTAGTTCTGTAAGAAGCTGCCAAACAGTTTTCCACAGTGTTGACAGCATATTCGAGTGAACGATCCAGTTTATCACATCCTCACCAGCATTTGGTGTTGTTTCTATGTTTCAGCTGAGCCATTCTTGTGGGTGTGCTGTGGTATCTCACTGGGGCTTTAATTTGCATTCACGGTGCTCTTTTAAAGGGTCTCAAAGTGTGAGAAACCTGAAGCTTGAGAATAAGATGGGTTGAATGAACTTTGCTGGGGCACCGGTGGATGCCAGCCCATCAGAACCACCCTGACCCCATTAACTTTCTTTATTTCAGGCTCTTAGGTTTCCGATAGAAGACAAAAAGGAGGGCAGGGGCAGTGGGGACCCTTTTAAAAAATCTAACAAAGAGTAAGAAAAAAATCTACTCTATTTTTGTGGCAGTAGCGACAAATGCTTAGTAGACTAAGAATACTGTGGCCTTTCTGGTGGGGCATGGTGCTCACTGCCCCAGATTGAATTAGCTGGGCAGCCTTGCCCTCTGCAGCCACTGCTCCTTGTGTTTGCACTGAGCCATTTCTCAAGTGGGGGGCGGGGGTAACTGACTCTTTATTTGGTAGCCTCCCACAGCAGGCTAACATCCTGTCCTGTTCATATTACAACAACATAGGCCCAGAATCTAACAAGATACCTAGGATATAGCAAGTGTTTCATAAATATTAGATGGATAGATGGTTGGAATATGGATGGGTGTGCGGATAGGTGCATGGATGCACGGGCAGGTGGGCGGGCAGGGAGGCAGGCAGTTGGGTGAGTGGATGGATGGATGGATGGATGGATGGATGGATGGATGGATGGGTGGATGGGTGGATGGGTGGATAAATGGATACACTTCTCCAAGTCTTAAGATTTAACCTGGCAGTATGACTAAGAAGTAACAAGAAATTAGCACCAAAATTTTGGGATGTTTAGTCCACTAACTTGAAATCCTGCAGTTTTCCAAAGTCTCTGCTTGTACCACTTAACCCCTTATTAATGAAAGCTACTTTGCCAGTTCAGATGAAATAGAAGGGAGTCATTTCACAGCTCTTTTATGTTGGGGAAAATCTCAAACAGTTTGCAACTGACAAGGCACAGGCACCAATCTATGAAAGCGGACCCCAGTAACAGAACCCGCCACCCATCGCCCCAGTGACGTCTTCTGGGTGACAAACCAATTGAGCTGGCATGTTTCCAAGGCTGAAATCAGCACCCCTGAGGAAAGACCATGGACTTGCCCTTCTTTCTTTTGCAAATCTATACTCTTCAAATTTTCTTCATAAGGAGTCTGGACTCGGCCACAGGGAGGGCTGGGGGACAGTGCCCTCTCTCACACCACCTCCACTTTACCTTGTTCCAGGCTGTCGGCAGAGTGATAATAGGATGTCCCTGAGTGGCTTCCCTCACTAGCCTGTCTCTGTAGGGAGGAGAGAACGTGTAAAGCCTTGCTAAGGGCTCCTGTTGGCAACTGTACCAGACTCAGTACACCTGCCTGAAAACCACTCAGTGAGGCATTGTCTGAGAAATAAATAAAAGGAGTTGATCAATAATCTTTATGCATGACATAACTTATTACATACTACATAATCAATTGCAAATATGCAAATACTACTGAAAAGTAGATATATATATATCTCCCTAAAAAACAGGAAAAAAGCAAAACCACCCCGGAACCTAAACAACTGTATTCTAGCCCACTTTTCCGGGAGCAAAGGCCAGTGGGCCCCTCCCTAGACATGCACCGATGGAGGGGAAAGACTCTGGTTCCAGGAAAACCACTAGTGCATGAGATTCCTACTAGGTGTGTGGTTTCGGTAACACACTCTCCAGAGGTCAGTTTACTCATCTCAGCCAACAGCACAGGACCAATGTTTCTCCATCCTGTGGTCAATGAGCTGAAATCAGAATCCCTGAGGAAAGACCGTGGGCTTGCCCTTCTTTCTTCTGCAAATCTATATTCTTCAAGTCTTCCTCACAGGTAGTCAGGACCTGGTCACAGGGAGAGCTGGCTGACAGTGCCAGGGCCCAAACGCTAATGATGTGGGTTCCGCCAGCCAGGGGTTCAGCGAAAACTCTGCTCTGTGGTTAGAGACAGCACCGCCCCCCACCCCACCCCACAGCCCCCACACCCAGCCAGCCTTCTCAAAACGTTCACACAGGGTTAATTTCAGTTCTGAGGGTGGAGAACCCAGTGTCTCAGGTGGCGGTGAGGCCGCAAGGGTGTCCAAGAAAGGAGGCAACTTTCTGACCCACCGCACACAGTCCAATCATTACAAACCCACAGCCAGAGCTCAGAGCTGTTACTCAGCCGCCCCTCCTGGCGCACTGGCCCCTAACGCAGTCTCGCCAAAACCCAAAGAGAGAGCCCCACACGGAGGAAGGGCGTTTAACCTTGGCCAAGGAGCTCAGTGGAAAGTTTTATTACTTGTCATGGCAGGAAAAAAAAAAAAGAAGAAAAGAAGAAAATCACACTTTTGAAAATAGCTTGCCTCTCTCTGGGAAGAGGCGAGGCTTGCAAAAAAAGAGCTGAGATCAGATCCCAAACAGAGGTGGAAAGCATCCTGTGGGGCTGAAGGGTTTAAATAGCAAGAATTGCTAGCACCTGGGGCTGCTGCACAGCACTGTCCGTGGTTCCTGATGCCTCCCAGGATGGAGAAATTAAAGAAGTGCAGCCCAAATCTTCCACCCTGAGTAAGTACCAAAACACCCACCCGAATGAAGGCCATCTGGAGCACTCCGTCCAGGCGGTAAAAGCACAGAGCGAGTGGGGCCAGAGCGTGGTGCGTACTTACATAAGGGCCGAGCAGACTCAGACAAAGAAGGCACTGTGCCCCAGCCACAGCCAGAACCCTGCCCACCAGCTGTCACACAAATCAAACCTGTGGTCACAAAAGGGAGGAGAAAGACACACACGCATACACACAGATGACTCAGTGCGAACTCTGCCTCATTCCAGGAACACTAAGACACCTCCTACTGACTCGGGACAAGATGTGCTCTGCAGATAAAAAGACAAGCCCACCTGTCCACCCCTGCCTGTTGACGAGATGCAGGAAGCTGAAGTAAGCAGACGACTCCACTTCTTTCAAGCTGCAACTCAAAGCCACCTCCTTGGAGGCCTTCCCTGTCCCTCAAAGGCAGATGTGGCCCACCCCTTCTCCTAAGCACCCGACCCATCACCACATCAGTTCTAGGACTGAGATCAGTATTTGGTTGCCTATGTAACTTCTCACTCAGCCCCGCAAAGGGAGGGGCCACATCTCCCGAGCGTCTTCCCCCGAGACCCAGCATGCACGTGAAACAGGGTCAGAGGAAGACAATCACGAGACAGATGTTAGAATAACTCAACTCCAAACCTCCACTCTCAGAGGTTTTGGAACTTCAAAACAGTCGCGCCTTTCTTGAACACCATGCAGGGGACTGCTCCTGGGAGCACACGCAGACCACGGTCTCGGCACACGCTAAACACCACATGACAGCAGAAGCCACCGCTATTTGGCTTTCCTTATATGTGAGCATAACCTAAAAAAAACATCAGACCCTCAGCATTACCCCAGGAAGCGTGTTACACCATCACTACCACACAAATGAGAAGACAGACTCAAAGATGGTAACTTGCTTAAGAAGAACAAGGGAGTCCTAGAGCGAATTAAGCCTGAAACATCACTGGAGGCAAAAAATGACAAAACAGCAGTTGTCCTGTCTGGGCACATCGTGAGAAGGCAAGATTTTCCGGAAATGACAATAACACTGAGAAGGCAGCAGGAAAAGAGGAAAACCAGAAAATGAGATGCGCCGACTCCACGCAAGAAGCCAGAGGCAGGGAGTCCACAGGAGCTGACCGGGGCTGCTGAGGACGGAACGTTGAGGACGTCACTCATTCACAGAGCCTCCAGGACTCGAAGGTGACCCAACGGCATGTGACGCACACATACGAGATGATGGACGTTAACTAAACTTCCCCGGGTGGTCATTTCACGATATATTAAGTCACGATGCTGTACACGTTAAACCTACACAGTGCTGGATATCGATTATATCTTTAAAAAACTGAAAACAGAAAGTTATATGAAATTTTAAAATATATTCAGCTATGACAGCATCTTATATTTTAGCTTTTGCTACTTTGGAAGACGGAAACCACTTTAGCGCAAAAACAAAAAGGAATGTCAATATTATACTTAAAACAAAGAAGTTAGCGTGCTGTCGGGATTTCCTATATTCCAGGATGAAAAGCAAGCCCAGAAAGCACTGATTTTCAGGAAAGAGCTAAAAAAATAGCCCTAGTCCGGGGCACGTCTCTAACCACACGTCACCGTCTCCTCGTGCCACGTTCTGGTGTGTCTCACCCTGAGGCTCCTGCTTCTGCCCCTTCGGTTCCTTTACCTCCGAGAGCCCTTAAAAATCAAACATTCTTCCAAGTCACTCGGTTGACTTCCAAGTCAGTTTTTGGTCGTGTTTTGTTTTTACTGGGTCGATTTCCAGCCACGGACTCGTTTTTGTCAGGTTAGGAATCCACAGAGGCAACACGCATATATCAGAAGACGCTAGACAAAGCCTGGCCCCTACGCTACAGAAAGGCCCTCTTGGCAAAATCTTAGGTCCCTCGGTAGCTAAATGTGAAGAGGTTCTCAATTCCAGCTCAGGCACTCTTCCAACACCCACCTTGAAGAATCTCTTGCTCTCTCATCCAGGCCAAGGCAAGAGCAAAATACTATTGGAATTCTGATCAACAACGGCTACTGCAGGATACGTTACTTGACTTTAAAACAATCCTTACTTCTTAATGAAATCATTCACTTTACTTTCTTCTGAACTTACAAAAACACGTCATTTTTAAATTTGATTAGAACTTTTATCTTAAAGAACACCGTCTTAAGTTAGTTCTACTTTAAAATCTTTATATTCATTGGTTTGAAAAACCACTTGGAGGGATTAAACATAAAGATAAAAAAGTATGAAATTTTTATCTTAAATGGCATTAACAATTCTTTCTCATTTTTTCCAGGCTTCCCAGGCTAATATCCATGTCTACTGATGCCTAGCACAGGACCCTTTCTTCACAAAAAGCAAAGGAGAAAGAGGCTTAAGGAAATGATGTGCATAATTGTACCTTCCTTGCAATCTGGTTGGCCATTTGAGACACAACCACGTGGCCAAGGAGAAGCCACACCAGCTGCTGCTTCCCCCACTCCATCCAGAAGCTCCACTCAAAGTCAGTCCGGTCCTAAATAGGCCAAAAAGAGGAATTTATTAGAGGGATTTCAGTACATGTTTCAGTTAATAAAACAACTGGAAAGAAGGCCAATGGGAGTCCAAACCCTATAAATGGCACAATGATTGGCCACCCTCAATGGGCAAGAAGGCCAATGGGAGTCCAAACCCTATAAATGGCATTTATACACTGCTTCCAGCCTTTACCCAACCACAATCCCCACCCACTTACACCTCCCCTCCTGCTTGGCTGGTCTCATTGCCATTCTCCAATTAAGTGTCTATGTTAAAGCTGAACCCCCAGGACCTTCTAGAAACTATTATTGGGCTAGAAACTATTATTGTCCTCATTTTATAAAAGATGAAACAGGGGGGTTAAAGAATTCGTTTCATTTGCCCGGCATCACATAGATAGTGCAAGTAATGAACTGAGGTCTCAGTTAGTCACCTAGGTGCTTTCACTTAACATGAGAAGTGTAAATTGGACACTAACAAACTTGCTTCAAGGTCTGTTAAATCTTGCTGCCATTGATAAGCAGAAGAATAATCTGACAGAGAAGTTAACTATGTCCCTATACGGTTATAACGAAAGAATGAAAGGTCTACTTCCCTTGCCCTCAGGAAGCTCGGAGTCCATTGGCGCCCTGTGTCTGTACCTGCACCAGGCTCAGTGTCTACAGGGCTCCCTCATGGGAAGGTGAACCTCTAGAAAGATGGGATGTGGGGATGCTTGGAGACGAGCACCCAAAAGCCTTGGCCTCTGGCGCCCCGGGGAGAACGTGGTGGCCAGGCTGAGCATGGAGGGAATAAACACAATGATTGGCCACCCTCAATGGGCGATGCAGGCTTTGCCAATGAGCATCTCTACACCATCACCAGTGGAAACGAGGCCCTGAGACTCTTCCAGCCAAACTGCATGGGTGGGAAGGAATCAGGGGCATGGACACTGAACAACTCACCAGTCTCTGCAAGTGGAACCCCGACCCAAATTTAATCAGATTTAGAGGAAAAAAAGTGATTTTATTTCTTTCTCTCATCCCTTTTTGTGTTGGGTTTTTGTTGATTTTGGTTTTGGGGTTTTTTTTTTTTCCGCACCTGGAGATTAAGGGGCAATCTCATCCCAGTTACACATATTATAAAACTCCTTTTATACAGAAGGCAAAATATAGATAAAATTGATCTTGATTCATATCAGACTATGAACGCAGAGGTAGCAAACCCAGCGGCCAAGGCTGCAGGCTCGGCTTGGTTCACTCCCAGGTCTACCCACACACTGGCTGCCATGAGCCTGAGTGAGATACTTCACCTTCCTGCTCTGTCTGCTCATATGACAACAGTACAGATCTTCTGGAGTCTGTGAGGTTTAAATGAGAATATATATATATTTAAAAGTGTCTGGCACACGGTACACACTAAACATTGTTACCTGCCACTAACTGCTAGTCCCACATGCTTCCCATCCTGTGTTAATAAGCCAAGATTAAAATAATAATAATAATAGTAATAAAAACAATAAGACTTTTTCCATTATTCAAATAAAGAAATACAGTACTGTGCATTTTCAAATAACATGCTCCCCACACCCAAGATCGTGATAAACACTGATGTACACACGACCTGCTCATAGAGCCCTGTCCCCAGGAAAATCATAGATCTGGTCCATTTCCTTCCATTTAGAGATGACCACATCAGGGCCCAGGACGTGCCCGCCCAGCCTCGTAGCCAGGCAGCTGCAGAGCAGAGAACTCACACCTTTACCCTGGCTCTCGATCCCGGATCCAGATCCCCATCTTAGAAATTCCAAATTAACGGAGAGTCAATTAGCTGAATAAAGGCAAACAAGCTCAAAGGTCATGTGATTAGACGATGCTAGTGAAACTCTACTTTTGTAACAAAGATACAGGTAAAAAGAAAAAAAAAAAAAACACTAAAAGCCAAGATTGAATTTTTTTATGTCCCCCTTCAAAAAAAAAAACCAACATTTTAGTTTTTTTTAAATATAAATAATGTTTTCAAACAATCAGAATTACATTTAGAATTCATAACCTTAGGCTTGCCTATGCCTCAAAACTTTTCCAGGTTTATTTTTAGGGGAAAAAATGATTGATAAAACATCTCATAAAATAGAAGAAACCAAAAAAATCATAATGTTCTGCCAGAAGACCCAGGACCACTGAAACCCCTGTGCTGGTAAAATCACTTCAGCAAAAATTACACAGTCTTTCATCACCAATTCTTTCAGAAAATATCTATTTAAAGTAAATAAAAATGTTTCTCTTATGTCAGTCTTTCTCCATTTAAAATATTTACCTAGAGGAAATGACCAGACAGAAAAGCTGAGCCAATGAATAGAACAAGATGGCCAAAAACTCGCGGTTAATGATTTTGGGTAAGAAAAAGGTTGACTCGCCTGTTTTTATAAGCAAAAGCTTTCTAGACTCTGAGCTCAGTCACATATTTCAAGGCAAATGTTAGAGTCTTTTTCATGTTCTGCTCCTTCCCCATTTCCTTTCCTGATCTTGTAGTTCTTAGACAATTAGAAACCTCTTTTTCAGTTCTGTTACATCTGTAAAGGAGTCAGATATAAACTGGGAAAGAAAAAAAAATCCAGCCAGACAGAATCAGGAAGGCACCTTCATGGAGAAAGGGGAGACAGAACTCCACGGAAAAGTAATCCACATCCAACCTTACACACTGGTGCCTCTCAAACTGCAGTGCACACACAAATCACTGACAGATCTTGCTCAAATACAGATTCTGAAGTCTGAGGTGGGGCCTGAGATTCTGTTTGTCCATCAAGCTCCCAGGCTATGCACTGCTGCTGGCCTGGGGACCACATTTCGAGTAGAAAAGGTCTGCATCGCTAGTTACATCTCCCCATAGCTGAATATGCCCAACAGCCCTTAACAGCTCACCTAGCCCATACTATCCCCAGGCAGGAACACTCTAGGCTGACCACCTAACATCCACAAACAGAGCAACCATCGTCCTGTTCACCACGGAAAGCTCTGAGTATCTGGAATCAAGAATATTGCTGGGCTGAAAAAATTAACAAGCATGGTTATTCATTCTGAGGCATCCAATCTGCAACCAGGCAGAACTCAAGAAGCGACAGTCTCGGGCCTCTTACACAGTGGCTCCAACTTCCTGGTGAAACACCGTTTTTCCAGTTCTCAACAAAGGACAGGGACGCGGTCTGGTGTTCCTAATGGCCTCTTTCCCCATATAGAGCAGAGTTCTGCACTAAGCACTATGGGAAACCGCAGAAGTATCCCTCACTCCACGATCAGAGCACCCTGAAAACCACCCACAAGGCGAGAGCGGTAACAGAGGTGTAATTCTACCCCGTGTATTAGTATAACTGAGTCCTTCTCTTCCATAAAAATCACTGATAACCTTCTGGGTACGTGCTTTCTAAGGATAACCTCAAAACAATCCTCAACGTCATGTTTGCTTGTTTGTTTGTTTTTAAACTCCATGTTACAGATGAGTTCACTGGAAGCCAGAGTAAGCAAATTATTTGCCCAAAAGTAGTAAGGGGTAGAACTGGGTTTCAAACTCAGGCCTGTCCGATATCAGAGAAGAGTCCCTCTTCTACATGCTGTTTCTACTTGTGCCGAACCCTCTGCCTGGGCTCCCCTGCCACACCAACACACACATGCGCACACGCACACACACCACCATCTGACCAAACTGTCTCCAACCCAGAGGGCGCCTCCTTAATGCCCCCAGAACCCTGAAGACGTCGGCTCGAGTGTGGAGTCTTCCTCGTCCTTCCCGGTGCACCCCCTTCTCTGTCGCCACAATTCTAGTGTGTTTATTATAGCACATTTTCCTACAGCATGTTTATTCTAGCACTTTTTATTATAGCTAATTCATGGAGGGGAAACATGGTTAAGTTCTTGAGAGCAAGAACCTTGACTTAGCCAGAAATTTGTGGCATGAATGCCCAACACTCAGTCAGCCTTTAGAATGGTGGGGCAGCGAAATCAGACGGCCCAAGTACTTGTCACATTTCTGTCTGCGTGTAAACTTAGACAAGGCACGTACCTATCTGGACCTGAGCCTTCTTGTGAGTAAAATGAAGAGCTGACCTAGCACAAAGTCTAAGATTCTTTTCAGAGGGTAGAAAAAAGCAGTTATTTTCCAGGCTAAAGGAAAAAAATGCTAAGAGTGCTGGTCACTTGCACCGTAGACTCTGAGTCCTGATCGTGTGTGACCATTCAGGAGAGGGGGTGATCTCTCTGCTCATACCACCACGTGACCAGTCTGGGCCTCCAGGTTCCACACCTACACCTGAGTGTGGAACAGCCTGCTCTGTTCCAGAAAGTTCCCCACTCATCCAGCCTGCCCTCTTTTCCCAGAATAGGAACAAACCACTACAGTGTGTGGACTTACTATACGGTACGATTCTGACTCTAGCATAGTAAAAAAACTACCCCTTCAAGAGGTTAAACATCATGCCCAATGTACATGACAAAGCCTGATTTCAAAGCCAATATATGACAAAGCCTGATTTCAGTGCCCAAGTCCACAGGATGCAAAGTCTATGTTTCATGTGACAAAACAGATATAACATAAAATTTACCATCTTAACTATCTTTAAGCGTACGACTCAGCATTAAGTACATTCACATTGTTATGCAGCCATCACTGCCATCCATCTTGAGAACTCTTTTCATCTTGTAAAACTGAAACTCTGTACCCATTAAACAATGACTCCCCGCGCCCACCTCATCCCAGCTCCTGGCAACCATCATTCTACTTTCTGTCTCTATGGATCTCAGTATCCTAGGTACCTCACATAACTGGAGTCATACACTGTTTGTCTTTTTGTGACTGGCTTATTTCACTCAGCATAGTGTCCTCAAGGTTCACGCATGTTGTAGCATATATCAGAATTTCCTTCCTTTTTACGGCTGCGTAATATTCCATTGCATGGATATACCATAACTTCTTTATCCACTCATCTATTCTTCGATGAACATTTGAGTTGCTTTGGTTTTAACTCTT